CCCAGAGTGGGGACAGCTATCCACAATTAAATAGCACAAAAAATGTCTGTAGCTCAGAACAAAGCATAGAACTGCCTGAATATTACATCACATTGCAGTACATATATGAAGCAGGTGCCGGTGGCTCACATCTGTAATCCTAGCTGATCTGAGGATCACAGTTCAAAGCCTGCCTGGGCAGGAAAGGCTGTGAGACTCTTATCTCCAATTAACCACCAGAAAACTGGAAGTGGCACTGTGGCTCAAAGTGGTAGAGTGTAGCCTTGAGCAAGAGCTCAGGGACAGCTCCCAGGCCCCTGTATTCAAGCCCCACAAGGGCCAAAACAAAACAAAATAGTAACTATGTGAATATGAATAAGATTCAGAGAAAATTAATATAGGCATATGTTTATCTTCTAATTGTTAAAGAAAAAGTCATGTGAAACTAAGAAACTATTATGAAAGTTTAGTAAGATTACTGGGGGGGGAGGGAGGGGGGAGAAGAGCTAGCCTTGAGCTGAAGAGCTGAGGGACAGCGCCCAGGCCCAGAGTTCAAACCCCATGACCGACAAAAATAAAAATATATATATATATTCCCCCCCCCTTCCCTCCCTCCTCCCCCACGTTCTTTTTGAAATGAGGTCTTGTATTTTATTCAGGCTGGTCTAGAACATGCTATGTAGTCCAGGCTTGCTTTGACCAAAATCTTCCAGCCTTGGTCTGCAGAGTGCTGAGATCACAGCCATGCCCCATCATGCCCAGGTTCTCTGTTCTTTAATGTAAAGAAAGTACTATTATTTTTGCTGTATGAGGACATTTTTGTTATATCCATAGCAGGCAGAAGACTAAATTCTGGAATAAGGCTTAACAGAAATAGGATTGAGGGCTCACATACCCCTGGAAAAATGAAAAGACACACCTTACCTCATAAATTTAGAATTCCTCAGGCACAATCACAGTCAGAAGATGTTTAACCAAGTACAGCAAAAAAAAAAAAAAGTCAAGCAATGTCTTAAATAAGTGGTGAGAGGTTCTTTAGGTAAAGTCTAACTGTCCCCCACCCACATACATACTTCATTAGTTTTTAGTCATGTGCCTTATTGAGACAGAAATCCAAGGTTAAACCCAAAAAGGTCTTTTCCAGTGAGTACTGTTGATCCCATTAAAAAAATTTCCCAGGGCTCTGGAAGACTGCCAGATTGAACACTAGCTAGCCCTCTGGAGAGGCAAAAGACTAGAGAAGTGTTATGAACCAGATGAACTGTAGGTAAGCTTCTCAAAGAGTTTACAAAATCCAATGCCAGAGTAGTTCATGGGTTTAGGCTTTGGGACATATTTTTGTTAGGTTGTTGGAACATACTGCAAGGCAGAAGGAAATGGGATAAGGGATATGTGTCAACTATGCCTGAGTGCACACTGCATTTCTAGCCTACAGGCTGCTCAAACGCATTTTGCCTAGACAATAATGGACAATCTCAGTAGTTGCCTAAGGTACTACTTACCTATTGCTTTGTCAGAACCAATGTGACTAGGTTATCTCAGTCATAAAATGAAAGTCAAAACCACATTTACCTGGAGAGAAAAAACTCTTAAGCTTCATTTGCCCTAGACCTAAATGGAAAAGTCTAGAAATAAAAGGCACTTAAAAACAATGTAAGAGCTGGGTGCTGGTGGCTCATGCCTGTAACCCTAGCTACTCAGGATGCTGAGATCTGAAGATCACAGTTCAAAGCCTTGGCAGGAAAGTCTGTGAGACTCTTACCTCCAATTAACCACCAGAAAGCCGGATGTGGCTCTATGGGTCAATGGTGGATACTAGCCTTCAGCTGAAGAGCTCAAGGACAGTGCCCAGGCCCACAGTTCAAGCCCCACAACCAACAAAAATAAACAAATAAATGAAACAGTATAGAAAGCCTTTCTGTTGCTAGGATCTTATACTCAGAGAATTTTAAACCTTTCAAGTAGTTTTTCAGATTACTTGCTTCTCATGAAGTGTAAGAAGCAGCTCTTCAGGCCCAATTAGTTACAGGTTGCTAATATCTACTTTGAAACTGCCAGTGTACAAAGGTCATGCTGTACCTTCGTGGAACAGGGGATGGGTAACAGTTATTATGTCTGTTTGAATATGCATATGAAAGGGACGGTTGTCACCCATTTCCTTATTGATGATTTCCTTATGGTTCCAGCTGGAGCTGGAAATTCTGAATACTTTCCAGAATCGGCGGAGTTTTACGTTTAATGGTCCTAGAAGCAAAACCCCTTTCCAAAAGTTAATGTATCTTAAAATGCAAAAATAAAAACTGAAAAAAAAAAAAGGTGAACTTTTGGTTTCAAACCAAAAATGTAACAGCCAAAAGATGGCAGCAGAGGCAAGACTATGAGAAGATAGCACAAACAATAGAAACAATTTTCCCACGGTATAAGCTATGGTAAAGAGTTCAAAGCTATCATTAAAATGTTAAGAAAGAGTTAATAAACCATGTCACCTGCCCACCACCCTCCAAAATTCAGAGTTAAAAGACTGGCCAGGCACAGGTGGCTCATGCCTATAATCCTAGCTACTCGGGAGGCTCAGATTTGAGGATCACAGTGGTAAGGCAGCCAGGGTAGAAAAGTCTGTGAGATTCTTATCTCCAATAAGGTACTCAGAAAAAGCTAGAAGTGGCACTGTGGCTAAAGTGGTAGAACACTAACTAGCCGCCCTGAGTTCAAGCCCTAGAATCAGAAAAGAGAGAGAGAGAGAGAGACTGAAGCTCTCAGTAGAATGTAAATATCAGGTTATTACATACAGAAAAACATGTAGTATTAATGTTAAAACATGACAAGTATAGAACAACTTATCTGCCTACATAGGACATTCTACAAAGCAATTCAGAATCCTTAATGTTTAAACTTCATTTTAAAAAAAAGTTTTATTTCCATGAAACTTTGAAGCCAGGAATTTTGGTTCAATTACCACTTTTCTCTTTTTCCTTCCTTCCTTTTTATTTTTTTTTTTTGGGAGGGGGGGTTTGGCTCTAATATCCGAGAGCTGACCTCAAACACTTGATTTCCTGTGTCAGCCTTTCCTTCCTGAGATTAAGACATATACTGCCACACCTGGCTTCGTTCAACTGCTTAATTCCTAATAGTAATTTCAGAATAATGAATGGCACATCAGTTACAAATTTAACTTGATATAAGAACATTTCTTGCTGGGTACCAGGGGCTCATGCCTATAATCCTAGCTACTCAAAAGGCCGAGATCTAAGGATCATTGTTGAAGCCAGCCTGGGCAGAAAAATCCATAAGACTCTTATCTCCAATAAACTACCCAAAAAAGCTGGAAGTGGAACTGCGGCTCACATAGTAGGGTGCTATCCTTGAGCAAAAGAAGCTCAGGGATAGCTTCAGGACTAGAAAAAAAAAATCCTTAGGATTTAAGGATTAAAAGCATCTATTAACACCCCCCCCCCCAACTCTCTGCCAGTCCTGGGGCTTGAACTCAGGACCTGGGCCCTGTCTCCAAGGATCTTTGTGCTCAAGGCTAGTGTTCTACCACTTGAGCTGTATCACCACTCCCAGACTTTTCTGTTTATGTGGTACTAAGGGAACCCAGGGCTTCAGGCATGCTAGACAAGCACTCTACCACCAAGCCATATTCCCAGCCTTCTCTTAACTTTTAAGATCAAAGGATCTTAGGCACTCAAATAAAAACTTCCAACTTGCTAAGATATTCATATTTTGCTGAACTTTGTGCTTAAAGGATAGACTATGATTAATGACAGACTATGTAATCAAGGAAAATACATAAAAATAAAAAAACAGTACCCACCTGTGCTACTCTTTTTACATGTTCAATATTCTCTATTAAACTGTGCCAAGTGTGGCAGCACATGCCTGTAATCCTAGCACTGGGGAGGCTGAAGCAGGAGGATTAAAGTTTGAGGCCAGTCTGGAGTACATAGTGAGATCCTGCTTTAAGAAAGCCAAAGTCACTGAGTACTTACTGGTGGCTGACACCTGTAATCTTAGCTATTTAGAGGAGGCTGAGATCTGAGAATCACTGTTTGAAGCCAGCTTATCTCCAATAAACTACCAAAAAGCTGGAAGTGGAGCTGTGGTTAGTAGAGCACTATCCTTGAGCAAAAAAAAGCTCAGCAACAGTACCCAGGCCCTGAGTTCAAGCCCCAGAATTAGCATTTAAAAAAAAAAAAACCAACCCACTAGGCACTGGTGGCTCATGCCTGTAATCCAAGCTACTCAAGAGGTTAAGATCTGAGGATTGTAGTTCAAAGACAGCCTGGGCAGCAAAGTCCATGAGGCTCTTATCTCCAATCAACTACCAGAAAACTGGAAGCTTTGGAAAATATGGCTCAAGTGGTATAATGCTAGCCTTAAGCTGAAGAGCTTGGGGACAGCACCCAGTCTCAGAGTTCAAGACCCACAACTGACCAAAAAATAAGTAAATAAAAAAATTAAAAATATATATAAAATAAAAAATAAAGAATATGGTTCACTGGTAAAGAGGGCCTTGCCTAGCAAGTGTGAGGGCTTGAGTTCAAAACCTAGCACCACAGAGAAAACCAGAGACAAAAGACAGGTATAACCAGTGACTATGAATGAAAGACTGAGTTAGATTTCTTAATTCCCTTACACTGTCTTGAGCAGAAAAGCAGAAGCCTTTTTTGCTTGTTCCTTAAAGGAGCTGAGTATTTTGGCCAGATGATCCCAAATGATTTTGGCAGTAATAGCATGCTTGTTAGGCAAGCATTCTACCACTTGAGACACTTTTCTAGCTCCTTCTGATCAGAGCTTTTCAGACTACCTTGAGGATTTCTGGAGGCAACTCCACCATAGTAACTGAATTTTAGCTTTCGTTCAGGTAAATCTCTCCCTTCATGTTTTAAAAGGACAGTAGGGCTGTCCTTTTAAAACCAAACATAGTTCTAAAAAAAAAAAAAAAAACCAAACATAGAGAGCAAAGAACTGTCCCACACTCTTAGTTACTTGTCATATCCCAGTTGAGATGTATCACTTACACAGTGTGATGAATCCTTTCTGATTCTGGTACATTAGAGGTCTGAGTCTCTGAGGTTTGAGGCTGGGTGGCAGCTGGTGGCTCTGCCTCTTCAGCTTCACACTTCTTTGGGCTCCTCTGTTAGAAGACAGGAAAAACAAACATAACAAAGGGGTTAAATCTGCTTGGTTCACTTTTTTCAAGTTGGATCTGGAAAAGGGCAAGGAAGGACATTTATAATACTGGGTTCACAAATAGCCCTTTGTTATTTCATTTTTTTTTTTGGGGGGGGGTCCAGTTGTGGGGCCTGAACTCTGGGCCTGGGCGCTGTCCCTCAGCTCTTCAGCTCAAGGCTAGCACTCTACCACTTGAACCACAGAGCCACTTCCAGGTTTTTTCTTTTTGCTTATGTGGTGCTGAGGAATCGAACCCAGGGCCCCAGGCATGCAAGGCAAGCGCACTACCACTGAGCCACCTTCCCAGCCCGTTATTTCATTCTTGAATGTTAACTTAAAGATAACATTCTATGTCAACAATCATTTTTAGATTTTGGGGAGTAGGGGGGTCAGCTCTACCACTCATCTAGACCCCTAGCCCTGAAAATTCTAGAGGGAAGTGAGAAAAGGGTTCCTTTTAGACAGAGATAAAAAAGAAAAGGGTTGATGAATGAGAACCCTGCAGCTCAGTCGTATGTCCACATGGGACTTGGAAATGAGTAAGATAGATTAACAAACACCCCACCCCCTCGATATTTCTGGAGCCTTGTCCGACTAATTTTTCCACTTTATTCTTCATACAGACGCTCTAGGTATGGTGGCACAGGCCTGTAATCCTGTGTTTGGGGGTGGGGGCTGCCTCAAAAACAAAACAAAGTAACAACAAAGCAAATGCAAGAATCAGTCTCAATACTGCATACCCCATTTCGGAGAGGTCACAATAGCCTACCTGCTCAGACTGTAATCTCTGGGTCGTATGTTTTTCAGCTGGTTCAGGCTGGCTCATACGCCTCATTAAGATAGAGGATGAGGAGGTGGAAGGCCTCTCCTTTGGTTCAAAGATCTGCAGCTGTGGCACTGGTGGAGCTGCAATCTCTTGAACAGAAGAGGGATCTTTGGTTTCAGTGTAGCTGGTGTTGTCCCTGGAGACTCCAGGGCTCAGAGACTGAAGAAATAGAAAACAAAGAAAATTACTTTATTTGGTGTCTATTGGATATATGTATGTACGAATACATGTTTACTAATCTGTGCTGACCTAATTTATCTTTCTGATTTTGCATTTATTCCTATTTAAGTTAATGATCTTCTTGACTGCTTATTCAACAAATTTATTAAGTTCTAGCTAGGTGCTGGCTACTAAGATACATAAATACACATCCAATCCCTTGAGAAATTTCTAATTAGTAGAGGAGATAAAGTAATGCAATCAACATTCTTTGAAAGCAAAGAGACTCAGAATGAAAAAGAACCTGTTAGTTATCAATGCATTGACTAACATGAGGGAAAGGTAATCAGTGAACTGGAAACTTAAAGGCTTAATTATGACAGGCTCTGAGGGTGAAAAACACTGAAGATGGAACATGCAGACTCTCTCATGCTTACTTTTCTGCTGCTGCTTGATGCTGAACGGGATCGGGAACGGGACCTGGACTCTGATGTTAACCTTGAGCCTGTCTTAAGTCTACCATGAGGGTTGGCCTGAACTCCTGTCTGGGATACTTCTCTCTGCTTGGATTGTGGAGATGAGTGAGACTGAGAGCCTGAACTGTCAGGAGAGCGCGATCTGGATCTAGAACTGGAGGATGAAGAGGAGGAGGACCGGCTAGACGATGATTCGGCTGACTGCTTCAATCTGTGGCTTGGGAAAAGAGTATGAGAAACCCTTATGCTCTCCTTCTGTTCCAAAGACTGCTGCTGCGGAGACTCTGCAGTGATCTCTTTGGCCGGTGCTAATTCCTCCACTGTTAGAGGGAGTGGCTGAGCAGATTTTTCTGATTCAGTTTTAAGAAACTTCTGGGCTGAGTATTCAGCCGGTATGCTTTTCTGAACTAGAGGCAAGACACTATCTTCTGACATTTTCTCTGCTGGAGATTCTACTTTGGTGTCTGCAGGTTTTGACAAAGGAGACATGCCTCCTACCAACTGGACAGTATGCTGAGATATCAATAACTCTCTGCTCTCAGTGTCTGTATTAGGAGGAGATAACTGAATGAGAACTGGGGGTGCTGGGCCTTCCATGGGCTCAGTGTCTTCCCCACTCTGGAGTTGTACATGAGGTGGTGGAGAAGATGCTTCCTTGGTAAGTAAAGGTGGAGGAGTCTCCTCTTCACTGGCTGTTTGCTCTGGCTGTAGCACAACAGGGACCTTCTCTAGATCCTCAGTCAGTTGAGGAGGGGAAGGAGACTGGGATTTCTCTTCCAAGCCCTGTGAAGATTTTATTTCTCTTTTATCCTCCTCAAGGGGAGGAGCCATTTGCACTTCTTTCTCTTGCTGCTGTCTGGCCAGATGACTTCTTCTAGCTTCTTCCTGAGATCTTGTAACTCGCCCTCCTCTCTCCAAACCCTCCTGCTGTTCTTGGGATCTTATGTTAAGATTCTCATCCATCATTTCCTCTCGTTTTTCTCTGGGTTTCTCTTTCTCTCCTTCTTCAAACTGTTTCAGAACTGGTGCCTCCCTAGATTTTTGTCCCTCATCATCTTCCTCCTCCTCTTCATCATCATCTTCCTCCTCCTCCTCTTCTTCATCCTCTCTTTTCAAATTTCTATCTGCCCTGACTCTCAGATTTCTAGAAGGTGTTTCTTGATCCTCTTCTTCTTCAGCAGCCTGGCTGCACTCAGAGAGTTTAGCTGCCCTTGCCTGAAAAAAACAAACAACAGTTCTAAATATATTTGCTCATAATCAACACAGAAAAACTATCTTACGAGATAACCTCTAGGAAGGAAAAATTCAATGATACTTTCTAGTTCATTTTTCCCTCTTTTAAGTTTTAAAAAACAAGTATGGCTGAGCACCAATGGCTCATACTTATAGCAAGAGCTACTCAGGAGGCTGAGATATGAAGATCCAATTTTTCATCTCTAACCACACACACACACACACACACACACACACACACACACACACGCACGTACGCACACACGCCAAAAGTGGAGCTGTGGCTCAAGTGGTAGAGCAAAAAAAGCTCAGGGACAGCATCAGGCTATGAGTTCAAGCCCCAGAACTTGTACACAAAAAATAAATACATACATAAGTAAAACTGAATAGAACAAATAGAAAGCAGAGAAGAAATAACTACTAATATTTAACATGATTAATTACATCATACCGGTGTATTTCTTTATGTGTGTGGTACTGCTCTGAACTGAGGAACTTGTGCTTACAGGCCCTATACCACTTAAGCCATACCCCCAGCCCTTATTATTTTCACTCTTTTTTTTTTTTAAATTGGGTCTAGCTTTTCACCATCCCAACCCAACTTTTTACCTGTTGAGAGGGGGTGAGGGTATTTTGCAAACCTTATGCCCAGGCAGGCTTCAAATCATAATCCTCCTGATCTCATCCTCCTAAGCAGCTAGGATTACAGGTGTGAGCCACAGTGTTCAGCAGTTCCAAAATTTTAATAGCTAATTATGCTATATCTTGTCTAATAATCCTGTCTAAAATATAAAGCAGTTTTCTTTTTTTTTTGGGTCCGGTCATGGGGCCTGAACTCTGGGCCTGGGCGCTGTCCCTCAGCTCTTCAGCTCAAGGCTAGCGCTCTACCACTTGAGCCACAGCGCCACTTCCGGCTTTTTTCTTTTTGCTTATGTGGTGCTGAGGAATCAAACCCAGGGCCTCAGGCATGCAAGGCAAGCGCTCTACCACTGAGCCACCTTCCCAGCCCCTATAAAGCAGTTTTCTACCTTTCACCTGCAGGTCTTGTGCATGCGTTGTATTGTGTTTGAGCTCAGGACCTCAAAACTCTTGTGGACCTTCTTAACTTATTTTACTATTTGAGTCCCACCTCCACTTCTGCCTTTCTGTTGGTTAGAGGTAAGTCTCTATCCAATTTGTCTGCCTGGGTAAGCTCCTGAGTAAGCTACCAGTACCCAGCCACAAACAATACAACACTAGAAATATGACAAAGAACAAAAAGATGAACACATGGAAATGTAGAATTATTACAAAAATAGTCTGAGAAAGAAGGGAAAGTAATACTAAAGCACAGCTTTAGTAATACTAAAGCACCGTTATATATTACAGACTGTGATAGACAATTTAGTTAGAATGAACTTGTGACTTTAAATGAGCATCATTATTCCACAATACTGTGAATTTCCGGAAATTATGTAATCACTTAATCACAATCAAAAAAAAAAAAAAGAACCTCGGGGAAGGGAGGGAGGGAGGGGGATGGTAGGGAGAAAACCATGGAGGGGGTAACAATGTTCAAGAGGAAGTGTACTCATTACCTCACTCATGTAACTGTAACCCTCTGTATAGTATTTTTACAATAAAAAAATTAAAAAAAAAAAAAAGGTGAGTTTTAGGAGGTATGAGTTACCTGTCTGACCCTGGAAGATCGTCTTTCTCCTTTCCTTGGTTTCTCATCATCAGATTCACCTTTCTCTTCAGAAAAAGAGGAGCTGTTTCCTATCAAGTGAAAGAAAATCAAATCACATTCATGATATAAATACTCCTTTACAACTTCTAAAAATCCATAGCACATGGCTGCTCAGTATGGATTTTTTTTAAATCAGTGATGGGGCTGGAACTCAGGCTTGGATGCTATCCCTGCCCCTTTTCTGCTTCAGGCTAGTGTTCTACCATAGCTCCACCTCCAGTTTTCTGGTGGTTAATTGGAGATCAAACTCTTAGAGGCTTTCCTGCTAGGGTTGGCTTTGAACCACAATCCTTAGCTCTCTCTCCTGGGTAGCTAGGATTACAGGTGTGATCCTGGCTTTCAGTATGTATTTTTATAAATTTCTTAGGCTTTCTGTGATAAACACTATAAAAAGCGTGAGAGTCAGGGAATTAATCACATTCCTTGTAGTGTATGTTGACTAATTCCAACACCTAATTCATTATTATAAAAAATAACTCAAGGGGCTGGGAAGGTGGCTCAGTGGTAGAGTGCTTGCCTTGCATGGATGAGGCCCTGGGTTCAATTCCTCAGAACCACATAAGCAGAAAAAGCTGGAAGTGGTGCTGTGGCTCAAGTGGTAGAACACTAGCCTTGAGCTGATGAGCTGAGGGACAGCACCCAGGCCCAGAGTTCAAGCTCCACAACCGATAAAAAAATAACAATAAAATAAAATATAGCAGGGATATACAAATACAATGTGAACTTATTTCTATAATGTTTTGTTAATTTGAACAACAGCTCAAGACTTCACTTTGTTCTGTGTTCATTTTTTTAAATTACCCTATTGCTACTATTTACAAGTTTTGTTTTTTTTTCTTTGAACTGTATCCCTCAGATCTCAGCCTCCTGAATAGCTAGGATTACAGGTGTAAAGGACCAGCACCTGGCTATATATTTTTTTTTCCAGAGCTAGTCTTGGGCTTGAACTTAGGGCCTGGGCACTGTCCTGAGCTTTTTTTTTTTGTCCTGAGCTTTTTTTGCTCAAGGACAGCACTCTACCTCTTTCAGCTAACTGGAGATATGTCTCACAAGCTTTCCTGTCACTGCTGGCTTCAAACCACAGTCCTTAGAACTCAGCCTCTTGAGTATTTAGGACTACAGGTGTGAACAACAGGCACCTGGCTTATTTGCCAGTTTTTTTTTGTTGTTTGTTTCATTGTTTTTGTTTTTTTGATTTGTTGGTCATGGGGCTTGAACTCTGGGTCTGGGCACTGTCCCTCAACTTTTCAGCTCAAGGCTAGTGCTCTAGTACCACTTGGACCACAGCACCACTACTGGTTTTTTGGTGGTTAACTGGAGGTAAGAGTCTGATGGACTTTCCTGTCCGGGCTGGCTTTGAACCACGATCTTCAGATCTCAGCCTCCTTAGTAGCTAGGATTACAGGCGTGAGCCACTGGCACCCCACTTATTTGCCAGTTAACAGAGCATAAAAGGTTTAAATAATGTACAAACCCAGATTCTACATTAACAATATTTAAACCAGTGTAAATAAAATTCTAATAGAAGATCTCTTATTTCTACATCTCAAGAATTGCTATAATGACATGCCCTTTGTTTCTGAAGCAACCAAAAACAGTACAAGAAGAACTAGAAAACTACACAAATTTTGAAAAAGTTTCCTCCACAATTACTTAACAAGATATCTGAAGATATGCCATTTATATCTGGGTAAGGAAATACTTTTTTTTTTGGTCCTGTCGGGGGGCCTGAACTCTGGGCCTGGGCGCTGTCCCTCAGCTCTTCAGCTCAAGGCTAG